TCCAGCCAATTCGCCACCCACTGGACTGTGTAGTCATCCAAGTCACAGCCTCTTAACTTGTTCACCAGTATGGGGTGGGATACCGTATCGAAGGCCTTCCTGAAGTCTAAGTATACGACATCCACCCCTCCTCCTGTGTCCAGGCGTTTCGTAACCTGGTCATAAAAAGAGACTAGATTGGTCAGGCACGATCTGCCTGCCACGAACCCGTGCTGGTTTCCCCTCAGCATAATTTGTCCTGCCGGGCTCTCGCATATGTGCGCCTTGATAATTTTTTCAAAGACTTTGCCAAGGATGGAGGTGAGACTGACTGGCCTATAGTTGCCCGGGTCCTCCTTCCTCCCCTTCTTGAAAATGGGGACCACATTGGCCCTTTTCCAGTCCTCCGGGACTTGGCCCGTGTGCCACCAGCATTCAAATATTCCCGCCAGTGGCTCTGCAATGATATCAGCCAGTGCCTTCAGCAGCCTCGGATGGAGCTCATCCGGGCCTGCCGACTTAAAGGGAAGGCAGGCCTTCCCTTGGATATCCCAGAAGAGGATAGGGATATCCAACTAGAAGAACTAATGAAGGGAGGAGGGGAAGGGGAGAGGGAGGGAAGGTGTAGCCCTCTTCCTTTGATTTTTCTAGCATTTTTAACAACTTTTACAGCAGTAGGACATTGGCTGCTGTGGTGCCCCTGCCTTACCAGGTCATTCAAAAAATGTTGTTGGAGTACACCCTCATATTCAAGTAAAATGAAACAGTGGAACCTGAGGTACTACTCAAGCCATCTGGAAGAAGATGCTCAAAACAATCCTGGGAGAATTGGACCTACTCACAAAAGCTAATAGTACTGCTTTTTCATGAAAATTTTGCAATAGAGGATCTAGAAAAAGAAGTGGAATGACTAGGATGGGCCTGATTAATAATCTTGTAAATATTCTGTTAAAATTGTTTTGTGGAAAACTGCTGGCTTTACAAGTAACTTATCCTGTGATTGGGATTTGAGGAATTATTGATTTTAGTTTCATCCAAGTTTACCTCCAAGAAATGCAAGAAAGCTGGCTGTCTAAGGATGAATCATTTTATTTACCAGACTTTGAATTTTCTTTAAAAGGGAATATTAAGCCTGCAAAGAGGGCCAGATCAGCAAGTTTGACTCTTCTTGTTTCTACTAAACTAAGCAGATTCACTTCCAGTGACATCTATTTTAAGGGTTACAGCATTATTTTCCAGATAAATGTATACTTTAGCACTGAATGTCTGCACCATTTGGACACCCATTTTTATGAGTCTTTGATGAAAGTCTCATTGACCTATTTTATTAAAAAAATCCTAGCCAGTGTGTATGATCTATATATGCATGTATACACTCTATGGGCATGTCCACACATGCAAGCACGTGTGCTTGCAGCAGCTCAAATAGAAGCAGTGCAAATTTGAGCCAGGGCTTTTTGCCTCAGTGCACATGCTCTGACATGCACTTTATTGTGGAGCAAATTGTGCCACTTGGGGAGCCAGAGTCCAAGGCCAGCACCTTTGCTGTCCCCAGCAGTATAAAAAGCTGCCCTGTCCTGGCCCCAGCAGTACAAAAAGCTGCCCTGGCAAGTAGCTCAGGGCTACTCGCTCTCAGGAGCTTCTGGGGCCCGGCCAATTGGTACCTGGGGACACTACCCCTTGTGCCAGCTGGATTGCTGAAGCAGCCCTGAGAGTTACCTGCACCCTCTACCCACTGCAGCAGTCTGGCAGTGGAGGCTGTTGCCTGACTGTGACCTGCTGCCACCTGCCAGACCCAGATGGGGACTGCAGAGTCCATGGGGGCACCCGCCCCTGTGGGCCAGCTGCCACTGGGCTGTGGCTACAAGGTTGGCCTCTGTGTGACACTACTGCCATGCATGCCTCCTGCCTGGCCACCTGAGCAGCTATCGCCCAGAAGATGTTCTCAGTGTGGTGGTCTGCTTTGAATGGTCAAAGCATGTCCTGCTGGCCCATTTAGCCAGGAGGTCAGCCACAGCCAGCTGGGTCCAAGGTGCCAGCTCTGAGCAGGCAGGGTCCTGCCACTGGCCTCCCTAGCAGGAATTCTGGTGTTCCCTATTGGAAAACTGAAAAATCCCTGATAAAAAAAATCCCAAAGTCACTCTGTAAAATACCCCAAAATCCATGTTCCTCCATAATTAAAACAAAAGACCACTATATATAGAGAGAGACAGACAGACAGACAGTGATCAGTTGGGTAATGTTTTACTGATCTATCTACAGTGTTTGGAAGTCTACCAGTGTCTCTATCATCATAATAAAATGAATTCTATATACCTATATGTTTTGCTGCCCCACACAGAGCTACAGCCCCTCCTCCCCCAAAGGGGTCACAGCTCCCCAACAGGGGTTACAGACCTCCTGCAGGGGCCACAGCCCCACTGCAGGGGCCATTTGACCCCTGCGGGGCCTACCACTCTCCCTCTGCAGGACCCACATGCCCCACCCCTGCTTGCTCCTCCTGCCCTGCAGATTGCCGCCTGGCCCCACCCCTCCCACCAGCTCCTGCAGCTCCCCCGATGGCTGCCCCACCCAGTCCCAACCCTCTTCTAGACCACCAATGGCTGCCTTGCCTAGCCCCATCCCCTGCTTGCATCCCCAGCCCCCCAAATGGTTGTCCCCCTGGCCCCAACCTCCTGGCACTTAAAAAAAAAACCCTTGCACTCACCTCGTTGTAGCAGAGGCTGCGGGATCCCCCCCACACAGCACAGGGCAGCAAGGGGCAGTGAGGCTGTCCAATTTCTCCCCTACCTCCCCCTCCAATGATCCCCACCCAGTCCCAGCAGTCCACATGGCACCCATACTGCCACTGTCCCACCATGCAGGTGTGGCCGGGGTCAGCAGGGTGCCATGAGGCTCCATGTGCTGTCAGGCAGATGGGGCTGCTGCAGCTGTCACCTGGCCCCATGAAACATGGAGGGTGGCCCCAGTGACCCCAACAGCAGCTGCTACTGCAGGTGAATGTGGGCTAATTTTTTTGCTTTTTTTTTTAATTGCCAGGATGCTGGGGCCAGGCAGGGAAGCGATCAGGAGGCATTGGGGGGCAGGTGGAGGATGGGGCTGGGCAGAGCAGCCATTGGGGGATTTGGGGGACAGGCAGGGGATGAGGCCAGGTTGGGCAGCGATAAGGGGTAGGTGGGAGCTGGGGCTGGGAGGGGCAGCCCCCGCGGGGGCTGCAGGAGTGGGAAGGGGTTGGGGTAGTGATGGGGGTTCAGGGGGAAGACAAAGGATGGAGCCAGGTGGAGCAGCAATCAGGGGGGCTCAGGGGACAGGCAGGGTATGGGCAGGGTGGAGCAGTGATCCAGGAGCTGGGGGAGTGGGTGGGGCCAGTGGGGGGCTCCTCATGCACCTTTCCCCCCTCCTTCAGCCCCTCCCCACCCCTTAATTACCACCAGGAGCCTGGGTCCAGTACCCTGTAGCTGGCATGCCACTTGCCCTTCACGGGCAGGCAGCATGCTTCAGCACTGGGTTAAGGGCCAGCCATTGAGATGTTCTGGCTGGCTACCAGAGTGTCTCTGTGGAAGACCAAGCCTCCGGTTGCCCCACTTTTTTCTCCTCATGGTTTTTTTTAACCCCTGGCTATCCAGGGGTCTAATTTTGCCCCCATGCTGCAAATTTGCAGCATGGGGAACTTTTTTTGGTCCCACATGTGCCTCTTACAGTGTCTGAAAGGCCTTTGAGACTCTACAAGATGCACATGCGTGCTCATGTGGATACACCCATTGGGCACATTAGCACATGCTCCAACATGTTCTGATTAATTGAATTTGCTAGAGTGTTCTAATCAGAATGCTCCAGCATCTCATGTAATCAGCATCCCTACATTTCAAGATAGCAGCAGTGGCAAACAAGTTTTAGTTAATGCACCCCTGCCAGAATTTTGAAATGCAGGATGCTGAACACACGAGATCCTGCAGGTATCTTAATTAGAGTGGATCCTGAGAACCACATGTATGGGTGCCCATAATAACAATAGATGGCTATGGGTCAGGATGGAAGCCATATTTCATAGGCATTAGGGCTGGAAGGAACCTCAGAAGATCATCAAGTCCAGCCCCCTGCCCAAAGGGCAGGAAGTCAGCTGGGGTCAT